GCCCATTCCTGACGACCGGTCGCTCCAGTCGTGCTGTGATGCTTTGCTTACGTATTTTCAACTGTCTTTTCAATGGCTATCGCTTTCCACAAGTTTGCAGGTGCTTAATGGGTCACTTCTGAGGTAAATGAAGGTTGACTACTTGCTGGATAGTTGGGAGAGCACTCAGGGCTAATTGGTTATCTTGTTTTGAATAATCTCCTCTCCATTTTCTGGTTTAATGGAGGTGGCTAAGTGGGATTGTATTACCTACCTTATCTGACCCTTAGTCTAAGTGGTGACTAAAAGGAAAGAACGTGGAGGACAATCAGATATCCTATCTCTTGTCCATTGGCTTGTGTAGGTAATGGGATGAAGTAAGATAACACAAGGGAGAAAGAATGTTGAACTAATGTAGTGGCAAAAGCTGGAAACAAGTTAGAGTTTCTTTAGAGAGCTTTGTTCAGAAAAACCAAGGTGAGAGCAAGAGAGTTCTCTAAGTGTATCAAGGTGTTGAGCAAGGGTGTGAGAGAAACAGATTGTGAGGGTAGTGTTCTAAGGGGGTTTCCTTTGTAAACCAAAGTTGTAACCTATCTTCATTAGTGAAATTTCTCAAGGTGATCACCAAAGAGGATGTAGGCAATTTGCTGAACCTCTATAAACACTTGTGTCATTTGTGCTTGGTTAATTTCTGTGTGTGTGTGTAAGACTCATCCATCATTGAGTTCTTTGTCCAAAGTCCATCAACAACAAGATCTTAAAAGGGCAGTGAGTTAGTCATTAATTCACAACACGCTGATCATGTTTGTAAATTCATTTCTAACTTTTATGGCTATCGGTGGATTCCCCTCTTTTGTGGAAGATATGAAGGTAAACTAATTTGGAATAGGGTTGGATATATATGCTAAGTTTTGGACTATATAGTGTACATCATAAGTGCCATATATATTCATGTTTTTAAATATAGGTTTTCTCTTGTAAACTCAGGTATTTGAACGAGAAAGATTAAACGGGCACTATGGTGTTTCTTCATTCGTTTTTGCCAACACATTTTCCTCTGTGCCCTTCTTGATATTGATTTCAGTGATTCCTGGCGCCATAACTTATTATGTCGCTGGACTTCACAAAGGATTTGAACACTTCTTCTACTTTGCTTGTGTGTTATTTGCTTGCATGATGCTGGTTGAGAGCCTGATGATGATAGTTGCTAGCATTGTGCCCAACTTCCTCATGGGAATAATCGCCGGTGCTGGAATTCAAGGGCTTATGATTCTGTGCGGCGGTTTCTTCCGACTACCAAACGATATTCCCAAGCCTATGTGGAAGTTCCCATTGTACTACATTGCGTTCCACAAGTATGCATACCAAGGACTGTTTAAAAATGAATTCATAGGCACGACATTTCCTAGCAGTGATCAAGGAGGAAAAACATCCAGTGTCAGTGGGGAATATATTCTGAGAGATAAATGGGAAGTCGAAATGGGTTACTCTAAGTGGGTTGATCTTGCAATCTTGGTAGGGATGATTCTTCTGTATCGAGTTTTGTTCTTGGTTATCATAAAGGCCACAGAGAAAGTGAAGACTATTACAACTCTTTTTGCAATGCCTCTCAATAAGCGAAGCATGCAAGTATTGGTCAATCCGTCCTCTACGCCTATGCATGGAGGGGAATCTGTAGTGGTAGTATAGCATAATACAAATGGTATTGTTGGTATTATAAATTAAGCGTGAAGATAGGTATTGGAATGGAATAGGAAGTATGTGTGCAATCCAGTATCTAGTGAGTAATTTTTATTTTCTAGATATGAGAATAATATAATTAATGTTGATCAGAAAGGATATTTGGATGCATTGCATGTCCCAAATTACATGAAATCAGAGAATTTTGGAAGTGTGGGGAATGAATCTCTCGGACGGCTTGAAAGACCTTTGTTCCCAGAAACTAAAGAGAAAGAGGAGAGAGAAATAAGGAGGAGAGACATAAGGGTTGTGAGGTTTTGATTGATTGTAAAAACAAACAAAAATCAAATCGATTAAAGATACGACAATAGCTAAAATGAATGAAATTTTCTCTGGGGTATTGGCCGGCTTGCCTTAGCAATGAGAGAGAGAGAGAGAGAGAGAGAGAGAGATTTCTCTAGGGTTTTTGGAATTAGAGAGGAATTTAGAATTACCAGGCCCCGTTTGGTTCACGGAATGAATTTGATGGGAAATCATTTCCCATGTCATTTCCCAAGGGATGGGAAATGGTGATTCCTTTCCCATGTTTGGTAATGCCGGGAAAGTGACCCGGAAATATCACTTTATTTCCTTTCCCATGTTTGTTTTGAGTAAGAATGGAAAACAAATTTTGTTTAGTTTCCCAATTGTATCCCTATTAAAATAATAAAAAATACCAATAATTGTTGGATAAAAACTGTAATTATGAATTGTTAGTAAGGACAAATTAGTCAGAAAAAAAGTTAGTCTTACTTTCCCATGGGAAGGGAAAGTGAAACCCAAGTAGGAAGGAAGGATTCACTTTCCCTCCTACTTTCTCATGCCTGACTTACCAAACATGGGAAAGCAATTGGTTTCCCATCCCCAAGATTCCTTTCCCATGAACCCAACGCAGCCTGAAAGTCTTGTGTAGTTATATATTTGGTCTTCTTGTGTGCTAGGATTTTGAGAGAATAATTTTTATTTAGTTAGGATTGTTTAATGAAACTTGGGCTGGGCTTCAGTTGGTGGTAATGCTTTATTTTATAGCTTTTTAAAAAATGGGGGTTTCTCTAGCAAGAACCTCTAAATGAGGACTTAATATGAGAACACCGTTGGATATAATCCAACGGCTCTCCAAAAAGCAGTTGCAACTGAAATTATTGCACTGAAACATTCCCTTCATCCGCATGCTTTCTCCTCTCTCCCTCCAAAAATATCACTCCCTCCAAACAAATGCTCTCTTGAAGAACACAATTTTTATTTTCAGGTTTGATATTCTCCTCCCTCCCTCCCTACGGTCTACCCCTCTAATTCTCTTTTATCCTTCTTCTTTCGCATGCTATGTTCTCTCTCCCTCCAAAAATATCCATTCCTCCAAAAAAACAGATGCTCTGTTGAAGAACACCATTTTTTTTTCTGGTTTGATATTATCCTCCCTCCCTCCCTACGGTCTACCCCTCTAATTCTCTTTTTTTTCTTCTTCTTGAGCATGCTCTATCCTCTCTCCCTCCAAAAATATCCCTTCCTCCAAAAAAACAGATACTCTCGTGAAGAACACCATTTTTTTTTTCCTGGTTTAATCTTCTCCTCCCTCCCTCCCCCACGGTGTGCTAAAATATGAATATGGTTTTGAATATGTTAGGTTCTTTTATTCTTCTCCATAATGAGGTATATATAAGAGTTTACATGAGTGCTTTACAAGGAATTAGATCCAGTAAAGAATAAGGAAAATATCTCCTAATTATACAATGATTTGACAACTATATAAAATAGGAAAGTAAATCCCTTAATTAACCAAGGAAATAAATCAATAAAATAGGAAAGTAAATCCCTTAATTAATCAAGGAAATAAATCTCCTTGATTAATTAGGAGACTCACTTCAACACTCCTCCTCAAGTTGGTGCATATACGTCACAAATGCCCAACTTGGTAAGTGAGTCATGAAATTTGTAGCACCCAAGTCGATAATCCATGCAATTCAGGCAAAGTCTTTGGCGACCGGTCGTTTGCTTCAGGCGACCCTTCGGGTGACCGGTCGTTTGCTTCGGGCGACCGGTCGTTTGCTTCGGGCGACCGGTGTTGCGTAGATACAGCTGCACCAAAATGGATTCAGTTGCATCCTCAACTTGTGATACTCGCAAGTGCACGAACCGTTGGTAGTTTAGCGTATGTAAGTGCGAGGTCGATTCCACAGGGATTGGTGATTGAATGATCCAATTTAGTTTCCCTACACAAAATAGAAACAAAAACAAAGAACATAAAACAAGGAAGAAAGAAATAACTAACTCAAGCAGATAAGTTCCCAAGTTCAATTAGATTAATGGATTGATTCTAGCTAAAGTATGATTAAGCCATGGTGTGTGGTCATAACCTTGTGTTCCTAATTCCCTAATTTGATCATTTGTTGTCTAACCTAAAATTAAGCATTAGGAACCCATTAAGCATAGAAGAACAATTTAAACAACCAAGCATGTATCTAATCCCTGTTGTCGAATGTCCATACATACTCTTCCTATTCATAGTTCAATTCGAATTAAAGCATGGTGTATACTCTTAATTCAAACCAAGATAGCTAACATGCAAGCCTAAATGGTGATCAATCATTCAAACTAGCATATTAACTTATAAGCATAATGAATAAGAACATGAATCATGAATCAAACTTGAAACTCCAAACTTATAAACCCAGAATATTCATGTTAGGTTACATCGAAGCCCTAGTTATGGATTTAGCTACTCATAATGGAAAAGAAACTAAAACAGAAATGGGAAAACATAATGAATGCCATAAGAGTAGAAAAACCCTTTTCTGAAGTTCTTGTAGTGTCCAATGCTTCTCCAAGAGCTTCTCCACATCTAGAAGGATGTATGAAGGATATGGAGGTGATTTGAGATGAGCTTGAGTGAGTGGTGATGGCTGAGAAAGAGGAAATTCGTAGGGAAATGGAAGGGAGGTTTTCTGGAGCTGTTTTGGTGATTTTGGGACAGTTTAGAGTATTGGGTTGATTGCTTGAGTGTTTGGGGTTGTGAGAATGTATGAGGATGATTTCTGGATGATGGAAGTATGGAGGATGGCTGAAGTGAATTTTGTAGCTTGAAGACTACTCTATTTATAGGGCTAAGAGGGAGGAACATTATGATG